AATTCAGCACGTTGTTTAGCATCAAAATTAACCTTCTCCGAAGATGGAAGAGGCAACAAATCAATAGGTGTACGAGGTAGGAAACCATACACAACTTCAAAAGGGCACATCTTAGTAGTAGAATGCAATGAACGATTATAAGCAAATTCAATATGAGGCAAGCATTCCTCCCACATTTTCTTATTATTCTTCAAAACAGCCCTAAGCATAGTAGACAACGTTCTATTGACTACTTCAGTTTGTCCATCAGTTTGGGGGTGACAAGTAGTACTAAAAAGCAGTTTAGTCCCCAACTTAGCCCATAAACATCTCCAAAAGTGGCTAAGAAATTTAGTATCACGATCTGAAACAATAGTATTTGGCACACCATGCAAGCGAATAATTTCACGAAAGAACAAATCAGCAACATTAACAGCATCATCGCTTTTATGACATGGTATAAAGTGTGCCATTTTCGAGAATCTATCCACGACAACAAATATGCTATCCCTCCCCTTCTTTGTTCGAGGTAAACCTAAAACAAAGTCCATAGATATATCCTGTCAGGACCCCGACTCGATGCCACACCGATCTAGCATGTAACACCTCATATCGCTTTGCGGCCTCACGCACGGTATCCCCACGGGTGTCGTCTTACCTTTGCCCGGGACCGTTTGCGCATTTTGGCACACGTATATGATGGTGTCGCTAGCATCCATATGATAAAGAGCCCGGGCTGACATGACTAGTCGTAAACCCAAAGTGGCACAGACTTACAGGGACAGGCATCCATGACCCAGCTTCGAACGTGTCGGTCATCAGCAAGTGGGTCCGGGCTGTAGCACTGGGCTAGCAGGACTCCGGTAAACCGGGCTGTAGCGGGCTAACAGGACTCCGGTACTCAAAGCGTGACATTTCCCCGAAGGGACAGACACAGGAACGAAGAAGGACACATGCCGGCCAGCCTAAGTGTTCCAGAGCAGTAGCAAGCTACCATGGCTCAGCGGTAACACTAGGAGACATTTCCCGGTAAGAGAGGCTACTAAAGATAAACAACTAGATAGTCAGATCCCACACATAGCACTACACATTACACGTACGCATAACATGCAAGTATGTGCTGTACAACATGGCATCACAGCATAACTCAACAATTATATAGATAAAGGCTCAGAAGAGCCATCATAGCATTTATTGCAAACAGGGGTCACAAGACCCATCATACAGAGCATACAAGCAACAAGCGGAAGCATTACATGTCTGGGTACAGACATCTACAAATGAAAAGGCTGAAGAGCCTGACTATCTACAACATCCGATCAAGATCGTAGCTGAGGTACTAGCTACTAGTCGAAGTCCACGAGAACACTAGTAAGACCGAAGTCTCCGCTGCAAAAACATAAATAAAGCAACATGAGTACAAAGGTACTCAGCAAGACTTACATCAGATCCTATCGTACATGCATTTGTATCAAGAGGGTAATGTGGGGTTTAGTTGCAGCAAGCCAGCTTTGACTCTGTGGCTATCCTATTCTACGACTACCAGAAACTCTTGAGGTGAAACAACGAACACGAGTCCACTAATCACCACACAATACACTACTATGGATTCATCCCCGTCTCCCTACGAGAAGGCCATCCATAGCACTCACACTTGTCTTGAGCATTTTATAGTATCCACTTCAAGTTGTCTATGTACCATGTAAGCATCCAAGAAGTCCATAACCGCGGACTCGGCTATTCGAATAGATCATGTTAACCCTGCAGGGGTGTACTTCTTCACACACACTCTCGCCACTTACCGCCATGTACACGTCATGTATCTCGGCAACCTTCAAGCGGAAGCCTGGCGAGGGTGTCGGCCACGACCTGACTAACCACACAAGACTCTAGTCCAGGTTTATCGCCTATTCGGGTTCCATCCGCAAGGAGATCCGGCCGGGGTGTCGCTTACGGCCCCAAACGATGTGTACAGGGTTCCCGAGCCCACCAACCGGGTGCCACTCGGTACACCGGGCCACGTGTGCCTAGTCTGTCCCAAGCCCACCCTGCCGGGTGCCACTTGGTAGAAAAATAGCACTACCTACAAACACCAGAAACTAGTTGCGACTCCTGGACAGAGATCAAGTTGGTTAATAAGTCGAGAGGGCTTGGAGCGCCCGGAGCCCAATGTGTGGTAGTATCGAGTCATTGGACAACATACACAGAACTCAGGGCTTAAGGACGGTTCCAGTGAGACTACCCACCATGTACTCCAACATGGCCTCTCACCGCTACCTTTACCAAATCGTGTTCACACACTTCACTCTCAGTATCAGCACATATCGTGACACTCCAATTCATTCCAATGAATCAAACCTGACACAACTCTAAGCAATAGCAGGCATAGCATGGTAGGAACACATCAGTGGCTTCAATCAACTCCTACACATGCTAGTGGGTTTCAACTATTTACTGTGGCAATGACAGGTCATGCAGAGGAATGGGTTCAACTACCGCAGCACAAAGTAGCAGATGAATCGTTGTTGTCCTAATGCAATAACTGAGAGCAGGAGCGAGAGAGTAGGGTTTTATCGAAATGAACAAGGGGGGTTGCTTGCCTGGTAAGTCAACAAGGGAGGCACTGCTTCACAGACAGGTACTCTGGAACGTTTCCGGAGCAGGACCTATCGAGAAGGAACGGTGCCGGCAATCAATACACAATCATATGCAACAATATGATGCATGAACATGGCATGTAGATGTGATGTTGTTGAGCTAATGCAACTAGTAAACATTTGGTTTGAAGTCCATTTGAACCAAAGGTTCAAATGCATTACTAAATTAAGTCTCTTAATATGCCATAATGTGTTTTCCCATATTCAGCATGTATAAGTTGGTTTTTCATGCATGAAACTAGTACAGATGGAAAGATTGCATTTTCCTGATAATTTTTCATATATAAATTATTTAAATCTGAGCTACGGTTGAATTGTTATGAATTTTTGAAGTTTAAATCAATTTCTGGAATTTCCTGATTTAAATTAAATCCAGAAATCGTATTATTGCGCCAGCATGACGTCAGCACGACGTCAGCGGGTCAACGCGGCTGTCCAGGGTCAAACCTGACGTGTGGGGTCCACACGTCAGTGACACTGGGGTTAACCCCGAGTCAAACCCGGGCTGATTAGCTTTGACTAAGCCCTGGGCCCACTCGTCAGCGTCAGGGGGGGTTAATTAAGCGGGCTGTTAGCTGCTAATGGCGGCCACGTCATCCCACCGGAGTTCAACGCCGGCGAGCACACAGACGCGGCGGCGCTGATCGGAACGGCGGCTCCGGCGACCAAATCGATGGCCGAGCCCATCTACGAGGAGCTGGGGCTCGTGCGCATCCAACGGTGGCAGGGGAAGGAGCTGGGAAGGCCGGAGCTCGCCGGGGCAACGCTCGCGGCGGCGGCCGGAGTTCGGGATAGCGCGGGCGTGGGGCTGCAGCTCGCGTTCGAGCGAACGGAGGGCACAGGCGGTAGCTACGAGGCAGCAGGAGCACATCGAGCTATCTACGCGAGGCGGAGGTGCTCGGGGGCACGGAGCTCGCCGGCCATGGCGGACGGCGGCTTCGGGCGCTCGCGGGGCAGCGGCTACAGGGCACGCGCGAGAGAGAGAGGTGAGGGGAAAAGAAGAGGGGCTCACGGCGGACTCGCAGAGCAGGCCGGTGTGCTCGGGGACGTCCTGCGTCCGGCGAATCGACGGCGATGGCGGCGAGGTCGATCTCCGGCGTCGGTGGTGAAGAAGACAACGGCGTCGGCGATGGAGCGCGTCCGGAGGTGCGTGGCTTGACGAGGAGGTAGAGGGGGTCGAGGCGGAGCTGGGAAGCGTCTCAGGGAGGCGAGGGGAGGCCGGTGGCTACGGTGATGCCCGTCGGCGGCGGCGGTGGTTCTCGGGTGAGAGGGAGTGAGAGCAGGGGAAAAGAGGAGGGCGAGGGAGAGTGAGAGCGGTGCGGGGCAGCTGCGTGGCTTCGTCCGGGCATCGAGGGAGTCCGGGGAAGCAGGAGGTGGCCAGCAGGGGGGGAAGGTGGCGCGCGCGCGTGCCGGCGAGCGTCGGGCACACGCCCTCGTCCTTCTGTCCGAGGAGGGAGACGACAGAAGGCAGCGGGGGTGGGCTGGGCCGCCAGCTGGAGATGGGCCAGGTAAGTGGCCCAGGTAAGTTTCTCTCCCCTTTTCTGTTTTCTTTTCTAATTTTCTGACATTTGTTTGATTTAATAAATATATTAAATCATTTAATTTTATTATGCCAATTTTTGTAGGGGCTAATGGTATTATTCCAGAGCTCTTTTATCATTGGCATAATTTTTGGACCATATTTCATATATATAGAAATATATTTCCAATGCAAATATTTATTGAATTAATCCAAATGGCAAAAATAAATGTCCATGAGCTCCTAAAAATATTGTTTTGATTTTTATCTCTGTCCAATATTTTCAGAGGGCAACATGAGCATTTTCTTGGACCCTTTTGAAGAAATTTTTATTTGGGTCATTTTCAAAAATGATTCTGAGGGTTCCACCAATCCTCATTTCAAATTTAAATGAAATTTAAATATGATGCACAAGTAGCTAGCTAGTCTAAGTCATACCAGACTAGGGATGTGACAGAAATACATCCATTTCTCCGACAAGCATTTCCGGGCGTTGGGAGTAGATCACAACAGAAGGTGGATACTGGCTTCTCCTAGTCCTAGGTCGATGGAACATATATACCTTAGGGGGGGAATTAAAAAGACTGTTCACAAATTGTTGTTATCCACAGGCAGTATTTACACCCAATACATTAAGTTCACAAATGTATTACGTTCTTCAAAAAAATGACCACAAAACATTCTGTTCTTGGAAGAAAAAGTTCACAAAATAATTCTATGAGAAGACTGCACATAACATCCATGCTGAAAGTAACACATATGATACATAGGAAGCAATAGTAGTATTAAACCAAGTGAATTAATCATAACACTCACCGCTCTGACCAGTGACCATCATCATTTGACTATAGCTTCAGGCTCTCCAGGTACCTCCTGCCTTCCAGCTTGGCGGCGAAGTACCCCTTGGTGAAGTCAAGGCCATCGACCGTCTTATAGCGTGCGTCACCCAGCTCCTGAAACGGGCCAATCGTGCAGGGAAGGTGCACGCTGTGGAACGCCGCAATGGTGATCCTCTCCTTGTCAGGGTTAACCACCGCCCGGTGCTCGATGCTCCTGTACTTGCCGTTGCTGAGGATCTGTTTGAATCCAATGGTAATTTCTCAGTGTTTTATTTCAACAAGCTTAAATAGACAGGCAGCTGACGACTTGAAGTGATCATACTATTTGCAGATCAAACAGAGCAGATACTAATTTGAACTGAAACCATGACAAGAATTATGGAACGTAGGGAGTACTGGCTAGGAACACACCTCAAGGACGTCGCCGATGTTGACGACGAGAGCTCCGGGCAGGGCGTGCACGGAGAACCACTCCCCATCCTTCCTGATCTGCAGCCCTTGCACGTCGTTCGCGTGGAGGAGGAGCGTCATGCCGACGCCGTCGGTGTGCGGCGAGAGGCCCAGCACCTTGCCGGCCTGACGGCAGGGAGGGTAGTAGTTGATCCTCACGCACTGGGGCAGACCCTTGAAGGTGCCAAGGAGCGCCTCCTGGTCAACTCCCAGGTCCCTGGCCATGAACCTGAACAGTTGCTCGGCCACACTTGCTAGCTCCGTCGTGTACTTGTCAAGCGTGTCCCTGGGGATCAGGATGAGCACAGCAGCAGGGATCAAAAAAAATGCTTGAAACATTCAGGTTCATGTCACCTGAAGCTGGAGGGATGGATCTAGTTGACGAAACAGAGAAGCATTTCATTTTCACCTGAAGGTGGAGGGCTTGGTGGGCCAGAAGTCCAGGCTCCGCTCGTCGGCGGGCCGGGTGGCGAGGAACAGCAGGTCCACCCAGTCCAGCTTCTGCTCCTCGGAGAAGACGAAGTGGTGGCCGAAGCCCTGCATGCCGTTGGGCGGGATCGCCACGGCCGACTTCACCTCCAGGGGAAGGCCGAAGAAGTCGGCGACGTCGGCCTTCGTCCGCCCCAGCAGGCCCCCGTCCACGCCATGGTTCACGAGCTGCAGGGGAAGAAATAAAACATCAAACGTCTCCAACGATTTCTCTGCTTGCTGCCTGATGACATGACATGAATCGTGGAATGGAATGGTGTTGTTGCAGACCTGGAAGAACCCCCAGTGCTCGCATGCGGATCCGAGCTTAGCCGACTCCTCCGCCGAGAACTCGGGGTCGAGCAGCATGGACATGTCGATTGTCGGCAGAGCAGGACCACCCGCATCGGCGGCGAGGGGATCGGCGTCGATCTCCTGCCTGATGTACCTCTCGGGGACCTCGCCGGAGTCGTGGAAGGCCTCTGCGAGGGCCTGCACACTCTCTTCATGGCCGGTGAACTCCACCTTGATCTTCTCAAAGGACTCGGCCATCCTTCCTTTGGTCCTACTAGCTTTGCTGGTGATCAATGGCTATGAGCGTCTGATAGCTGAGATGTACTTCCTCCGTCTCATAACGTAAGACGTTTTTTTGCCTCTAGTATATTGTCAAAAAACGTCTTACATTACGAGACAAAGGGAGTAGTATGTATCTAGGCAGGCGAGGGCGATTCAAACAAGCCATTCTACATCAATGAAGTCAACGTTCCCCTCCAATTGCATGCTCAAGAAATTGTGTTTTTTGTTAGCTCAACTTGGTATAACAGACTTATGCAACACGAAAGCTCATTATTAGGTAACAGAAAGTGTCCAAATAGTAGTCTAAGATGCAATATACAGAGCTGTCCATGTCTACAAGATATACTGCCGATGGAATGGTTGATCTAGTGCTGTCAACGATGAGCAGGTCCCCTTGAAAAAAGAAAAACGATGAGCAGGTAGTTTTTTTGTTCTGAAAAAATCAATAGGCAGTTTGTTGCTTCACGATTGACTTATTTCCTATACGATTCTGGCAATAGAGGTCAACAATAAAAGTGAGCTTGCACCCTCATGATTCACTGATTTCATTGTACGTTTGGTGTACGTTTCTTGGCAGCAAAGTTTGAGCCATCGAAGTGGAACCCTGTGCCATATGTTGAAACCAACAAAGTGTAAGCATGAAAAACGCAACTGCCTGTCTAAAGATATGGTGTAACAGCCGCGAAAAACGCACCAGTGCACACGTAAGGCAGACACACAACAAAGGAAACATGGTTGCCAGTTGCCACATCAAGGTCAAAGCATTCACTGGAACCAAAAAGCACCAGTCAATCATTCCAACATGGGGCTGGTACTCGAGAGAAGGTAAAGTACAACCGTTGATGAGTAAAATTAAGCCAGACCCCGTCCTTCTTCTCCTTGGTACTGTATCCATACAGATTAAACGGAGGGTTTGGGGTGATTAATGGCTAATCCTACGACACAATAATACTGTCCAGTGCAATAAAGAGAAAAGACACTAACTTAAGCTAGTTTTATAGTACATCCACACACACCAGCTCCAAAAGCCTTCACTCAAATCCTATCCCCTTTCGCTTCCATACTCGGCAAGCTACCGATATGTACAAACACGCCATGGTTGTCTCGATTGCCTTGAATTAGCCATGGGCTTTTCCTGTTTCCACAAGGTTCCCGAAACGGATTGACAAGCACAGGATCAGAAATGAACACCAATAAATGAAGCTCCGGAAACAACAAAAAGAGAAGAGCCAGTTACCTCTTGAGGCAGAAGTAGCACTCCTGAAATTAGTCCTAGGGAGTTTTTCGCCAGTAATTTTGGAGGCTATAAGAGAACTCTGCAGGCCCTCGAGCAACTGCATTACAGAAAACAGCAAGACTAAGTTAGCACATGTATCAAACTCCGTAAAACAAGTGTATGTCGAGGTTCTGCAGCAAGTTCAGACATGTAACAAGCACACAATGGGGAAAAACAATCACATCGCTCAGATTTATTCTAAAGGGAGCAACACTAGTATTGAAACTCATAACAGTAATGAGACCTCTGACAAAAGTATAGAATGACTACAACGATACTGAAAGGCTCAAAAGTAGTAAGCTATAGCTATATTATGCACCGCAAGGACATGCTACCAATATTCAGTGACGGAAAGTAGTACAACTACATTATAAATTTAGTGCCAACTTAAGGACAGTTCCAGTAGTTACCCGTGAGGTTGGTTGAATCCGGCGGTTTGACCTTCGGGGTTCAGCAGAATCTGAGCTAGTCTTGGCTGAAACGTCAGGAGTTTTCAGCACCCTCCTGTTCACGTTACTATCCGCAGAAGGAACAAATTTCCTTTTAGCTCGATTAGCAGCAATCGGATTCTTCTTGACAGCAGGAACGGTTGGTGTGGCTTGTAAACGTGATTCCAGAATAGAAGCATCTTCAGTTCTAAGATCAGTGGCATGAGCCAAATTATTCTTTTCTACAGTTGGGTTCACAGGGTTGGAAGAGCTTGTCGTACTTGCCGCAAAAGCAAAAGTACTTTCAAGAGCACTAGAGCTTGGGACAGGAGTGGATAAAGGATCCTCGCCAGGAACACCGTTAGTTGATGTTGTCTGAGGCTTGGCAGATTTAAGTCCTCTGGATCGCATGTCACTTGCCCTCTTGGCTCTCTGGTCGAGTTTTAGGGTACTTTCCCGTGGTCTTGGCACCTGTGGCACTGGATGTTTTGCATATCTGGTGGATGCACTACCCTCAGAAATTCTATCAGATTGATCGCCAACATAATGTTTGCTTACATCCATGAACTTCTTCTTCTTTCCAGGTTTTGGAACACCGAAGACCTTTGTTCCTTCCTTCTGCAGTCCAGGTCGCCTGGTGGTTTTAATCTCAGTTGCACCTTTTCCAATGTTAAAAAGCACGTCCCTATCAGATAAAGCCAGTGGCTTTGGCTCATCTGGTTTTACTACAGTGTTAGTGCTCTTCTTGTCTTTGGTAGGGGGACGTGCTTCTCCAACAGTGGGCACAGGATCGCTCACGACAGTGTTAGTGCTCTTCTTGTCTTTGGTAGGGGGACGTGCTTCTCCAACAGTAGGCACAGGGTCGCTCACTACAGTGTTAGTGCTCTTCTTGTCTTTAGAAGGGGGACGTGCTTCTCCAACAGTAGGCACAGGATCATTCACTGCTGTCCGCTGGCGTTTCTCATATGGAGAATCACCCTGTACCCAAAAATATTGTTATTCAAATATAATTGTGCAGAAGTAATATTTAGCGCATTCCATACAAATAAAATGTACTCCATCCAATGCAGAACGAGGTGTGGCGTATTTGATTGTCCAAATATAAGTTCTAACCTGAAATTATGTATTTCTTTAGTAGTTAAAAGATGAGATCATAAGAACTTTTTGAGACAAATCCAGTAGTATCAAATTTGAGTAAAAATGTCAGTATTAAAGAACTTTTGGATTAATTCTTGGACAAAGATTAAATTTGGGTAGTCAAAATTGCGAGCAAGTGTAGAATATAGAAGGAACCTTATTTGATTTATCTTTCCTCTCTCGTGCACGGGACCACTCTGTCCATTCACCATCCTGCCAAACAAGTGATGGACGAAGATTCCAAGCATCAAGGACTAAGGAATCACCAGCTGAAAATACATGATCAAGACAATAAGGACGGTTAAAGAATCATCTATTGAAGAACTTTTCCCATTAATAAATGAAAATCCGCAGGTCAAACTGGAAACCTAAAGCCAAAGATCAATGCTAGGTTAGGAACAATCAAATTATGATGACATCAATTTCAGTTCAGATATGTTGTGGCTGCTCCACTCAGTTGATTGGAAGCATTCATTATGTACAAACTATGGTAATAAATTATTACTAACTTGAAACATGCACTTGGCAACAAAACTCAGAATAAGAACAATACCATAAAGGATGAGAGATGGACAATCATGCTAATGTTACCTGAAAATTGCACAACGAACTTTGTGTCACCAAATTCACCATTCTGAGAAATGACTCCCTCCCGCCAACTGTGGAAAGAAACAAGCTTCAGATCAATAAGTGAAATAAAAAAGAGAATACTAGTATCTCACTCAACCTACTAGCAGAACACTGCTGGCACCAGAATGAACCTATAACAGGAAATAAGACAGTCTAGAATTGCTCTAAAATTCATTTTAGATGTATATACTTCTGAAATACTGCTTCTGCACAGTTTTCCAGTCCAAAATACTAAATAGGGCTACCACCACAGCATTGAGCAGAAACACCATAAGTGGATATGCAAATTTACAGCCTATATGCTGCTATCTTCCTGCTTCCGGCATTTACCCATGAAAGAGCAGCATGTAAGAACACTGAATGGCATACCTATTTTTTATCCATGCATCCACGTGATCACCAATAGCCCAAGAATAATTTCCTGCTGTGTCCCTACGGCGCTTTCTAGTACCTTTCAAATTAGATATAGTAGCAGGATGGGCAAGACGTATGTGAGGTGCCTTCTCCCCCTCCTGCTTCAGTGACACCCATTCCTTGGAAAGACCAGTACCTAAATAAAGATCAGCCAATCCCACAGCCTGATTAGCATAACAACCAACACTTATTTTGGTGTAGCTTGAGGATAATCAAAGAGTGCAAAGAATGCGTGCCTAATGGAAAAATTAAGGTGCAGATATGAATAGAACAATCAGTACTAACCTTCACCGTGGGCTTCATAGTTGATGCATGCACTATCTTCATTTATATCAAGGACCTTCGCAGAAAACCAAGCTGCTCTAGAACCACCCTCAGCAGCAAAAACCTGACACAAAAATGGAATAATACAATATAAGGTTAGAAAAAAGCAAAGCTGACAAACAAATATATTTAATACCAAACATGAAAAAAAAATAGAGTACATCGCAGTCGTTAGCCGCTTAATCCCATGAAAAATATTAATAGATTAGTCATAAGTACTCCCTCCGTTCCAAATTAAGTTATAGCTTTGTCCTAGGTTTAACATCTTAAGTTTGACCAAGTCTACAGAAAGATATAACACCATCTACAACACCAATTTTTTAGTACTGTAGATATTAGCACATTTTTCTGTAGACTTGGTCAAATAGAGAAGTTTTACTTGGATAAAGCTAGACCTTCAAATAATTTGGAACAGAGGGCGTACTTATTATTATTTGTAACAAATGTCATTAGAAAAAAAAGTCAAAGGTGTATATTGAAATTTATAAATAGATGCAGTCATGGAGAATAGATGCATCGCAAGGAATAATGTTAGGTACTCGCTTCGTTCCAAAATATAAGGTGCATAAATTTTCATATAAGTCAAACATTTCTACATTTAACCAAAATTTTACAATAAAATATCAACATCTACAATGCCAAATAAATTAAATATGAAAATAGTTTTCATGATGGACCTAATGATGCAAATTTGACATTGTAGGTATTAATAATTTTCTCTAAATACTTGGTCAAACATGCATAAGTTTGAAAAAAAGAATATATCT